AAGCGCAGTCTGAACCCTTTATATTACCAAAATATAAGGTAGGGCAGTCTGAACCCTTTATATTACCAAAATACAAGGTATCGAGTTGGAAAAGTTAGAATATTGGTGCTATGTGCTGGAAAGAATGATTTTTTATTAACATATAATAATTAAATTACTTACTACATTTCATCTGCTTCTGTCTTCGGGAAGTCCTGAAAATGACTTTCTCATGGCAGAACCAGGATTTGAATCTGTGTGCTAGCTACTCACTGGGGGTCTCCAGGAGAGGTTGATTGATTATGTTATCAGTTAGTTGTGTCTCTAGTTTCCTTCCTGCCTGCTTATTCTTGGTGTATCTTGTTTGATCCAGTTGAGGTATGTACTAGTATCTGTGTGGTTTGTTTATGCTACTGTAACGTACAAGTTTTATAACCATCCGATCTCGGAAAATGGGATTTTGTTATTTCTGTTGTCCATTAATTCTTGCCTGTAGCACATGGCTATAATAAACATATTTGGTCTTAGAGTGCCCGTGTGAGCCTAGAGTTAGGCCCTCTGTGTACCACAGGAGTTAACAAAACACAGAAACATATAAACTACCACAACTTCAGACTGAAGAAGAAAGAAAAGTAGATCACTATAGCCCCCCTTGCGACTGGATTTCCTGAAAATTAGATGCATATTCCTATGTCAAGGGCCCCCTCCAAAACCACATGTACATGTAGTATATGTACACAACATTAAGAAGCCACAATATCATTGAAGTTAGTAAAAACACCATTTACAACATCAAGTTGCATTAAGGGGAAAATCCCAGTCAGCAAGATATTAGCAGCTGAAATAGTAATAATAGTTTTTGGAGTTTGTGCATTATATAGCATACTAATCGGAACACACTGATGTCCGATCTCAACAGCTTTACCACCATTGCCATGGTAACTGTAGTTTAAATCCCATTGCAACAGAGTTGGGAATTCACGAGAAGCCTAATTTTTAAGATGGAGTAAGGGTGTTTAGTTTTCATAAAATAATAATTCGACACTATAAATATTGTCCAGAGATTGCTTAGTAAAAAGTAAGCCAATGCTGGGGAATGTGCTAGCTAATTATAATAAATAACATTTATTATATACCATTTTATTGTAATAATGATGCACTATACTGTATGTGGCTCCTACAAAAGAATTGTTACTTAATATGTTGTACCGTTTTATTTTTTTAGGGACAGGGGGAATCGAGCTTTCCATCAAATGAACAGTCTAGAAGGTATACAAAATGGAGAGGTTGTAGAGAGAAACCGAGAATGGAATCGAAGAGAAAGAGAGAGTTCTCGTTCTCCCATACGTCACCAGAGGGAGTCCAGGAAGGACGGTGTCTTAGAAAACACAGAATCGAGGGCTAAACACCCCAAGTCTCAAGAAGATTTAACAACATGCCCTCCTAGTGCATCGGCATCTACTTCACTTCCAGGCATCTCGGAGCGTGATAGATTACGGGCTCTAGAATCAGCCAAATCTGGTAACTTTATGATGAAATCCATAGTCCCCTCACTGTCGAACTCTCGACCAATAGAATGTGTTGGTGTAGCAAATTGTGAGAGTAATCAGTTACTGTCTTCTGTTGCAAGCACTACTACTTCTAGTAATCGCAGAGAGTCGTTTGATTTTACTTTGACACGAGATTCAGACAGGGAACAAGTTTTGCAAAGGTATAGTGCCCTTAATTCTGTGATGTTCCACAACAGGTTTCGAGAGTTTTCAGCTTCCAGTGGCCACTTACTGCAGGACCATGCCAAACTTGCCCCTCCTCCACTACGACCCAGTGAGTCTTGCTTTTCTTCTCCATCTGGACTTCCCTCCTCTGTCAGTAAACAAGGAAAGTATTGCCCAAGTCCTGCTACTTTTCTGAACAATACCCCCCCTGGGAGAAATAAAAATGACTTTCCTGCTAACTATGTCAGTGCAGTTCCTCCCCCTCTCATTCCCTGTTCAACAGCTCCATCTGCTAACAGTTCTCTGCACCATTGCAGTCAAGGGTCTTCCCCCCAGCTAAGCTCTAAGTTGGGACTAAACTCTTTGGATAACTCCCATAAGCCTTTTTTTCATAAAGAGAAACAAATTATAACTCCACTTTCTACAACGATCAGCTCACAACCCAGATAACGGATCTTAAAAATATAGCTTACTAAACCCATATTACGATTGAAATTAGTGAAGTCACCTGTAACAGATATCTTTCCTCGCACATATCATGGCAACTTCCCTACCTGTAGCAACATTAGGTTGTTGTTATTAAAACTTGTGATGTACGATAAGACTCACCCTCCCTCTGCAGTAAGAGAAATTAAGTGATTTTAAAACATTTCTTGTACAGAGATCTCTCAAAACTTTTATTTCATCACTGGTTCTTTCACCTTTTGATATTTATTATTTGTTAACCAAGGTTTTTTTTTCACACACCTCACCAGCATGGTCAACAGTGTTATCACTTGGTTTGCCCACCTCAGTGACTGTAGAGTAACTTGAAACAATTCAGATTACACCTCCACTGTTACTGTGTATCCAACATCTATAGAACTTCATCATCATCCTCTTTAGGGATCGAAATTTCTATTTTGCTACTTGTGGGGCACGTGTTGAAGAAAAACAACGTATTTATAAGTCAAACTTATGGAGTTGTATATTGAAACATTTTTATTTAGTGTACAGACTGAATAAAAGACTTGAGAATCAGTACTTTGGAAGTTATCTAATATAATTAGTACTAGTATGAATCTTGGCAAGTGTCAGAGGTAGAGTTGAATAACAACCACTTACTTCGTACAGGTGGATAGCTTTTTCAAAATACCTTTTAATGACACAGATTTTACGTTACATGCCTCTGCAACTTATAAAAGAAACCTCGATGAATCCTCCATCTTTAGAAACAATAAAATGGACTAATATTTATAACAACATTTTAAGAGAAATTGTGGCTGTAAAGGTAGGAGAAAAACAACAACCATACAATAATAAATTGCTAATTTTCATCACTAGCCCTGATGGCCGAAATATTTCTATTATCTGGAGAGTAAGGGTCATTGTTTTTTTCTAACTCTTCCAGTACGCACTACTAGCCCTGATGGCTGAAATATTTCTATTATCTGGAGAGTAAGGGTCATTTTTTGTTTCTAACTCTTCCAGTACACACTACAAATTTTGAAAAACAACCAAACATTTTTAAGGGGAAAGTGGAGAATGTATGTATGTTTTCGTCCGGAAAGTTTAAATTTAAGGTGCTCTTCAAAACAACATGGTAGTTAATTTTTTTTTTTTTTTTATTCATGATGAGACACTTCTTAGTTCCAGTTTTTACCATTTTTAATGAGATATTCTTTTCAGTTAAACATTTTAGTTTAAGACCATCCATTATCTAAGACCTTTACAAGTTACAAGATAATAAGTTTAGGTAAATTCTACCACAAGTTGGCCAACAAACATCCACACTTAACAACAAAGTTTGTTCCCCAGTTGTTACATATTTAACTATGTTCGTGAAAGAAGCACACTTGCCCAGACAGGATATGTGCCTTCAGAAAATGTACAAGTGTTTCTAATAATTCCTGCACTTTTCCTTCGAAAATTCAAAAATAGACTGCCGATTGAAAGAAAACATTTAACTCAGGCTCATATTCTACAGTTGAAAAAAAAGGGCGGGATAGTTTATATGGTAGTAATAGTGATGAAAGAAACAGATACAACATTATCTATGGCTTTGTCTGATTATATTTTAATCAAATCAATGACAACATAGTGACATTGCTAATTAAGGTTTTCACCAAGTTACATCCTCCTCCATCAAACAAGAATTACATCCAGAGAAAGAATATTTGAGACTCTTAGTTGGAGTCGTAAAGGTTTGTAGAAAATCCATAGTCTATATCTCTTTTTTCAAGTCTGGCCAAACTTTTCTCGAGAATCAGGCAACTAATAACCATCAAAATAAGCATACCCTGCAGGAATTAATACATACTCAATTAAGCCTGATATTCAGAGTGTTGAAAAAACTTTTGCTCCAATTTCTGAACAATTAAAGTACATTTGACAAAGAATTTTGAGGATTTGTTTTGAACTTAATTTGTATCTGGTGCCTTCATCAATAACCGGGAAACAGCCCATTATGAAACCACTGATGACCAGTAAATATTGCTCGTGGATAATAAAAGACTAACTACCATGCTTGCCATTAAATTGCAAGTATAAATTTCAAACATACACCTTCAAAGTTTGGCAAACAATTATATCCAAGATAACCAGAATGTGTAAGAAACACAAAGTTTGTTACATTACACACATAAACTTAAGTCTTTATTAAAATTCAGTATTTCTAACAGGTAGGACAAAGAAATTATGAAGGAAAGTGTTATTTTTTTAGAGAGAGGATTCAACTGGTTTCACTTTTTTGTACAAGAAGACAAAAACAAAATACATATTTTTTACACAGATCATACTTCATCATCTCAAACGTTTTATAACTCTGCTTTCAAAAAATATAGACCTTTTATATACACACGACTAGAAAAAAACCAAGATCTGTTAGTTATTTGTGAATAAAAAGTTAAGTTCTATAGGGCAGCCTGTAGCAAATTATATTAAAAGTTTTACAAGAACCAGTTCTAGAGTTTAGGAATACACAGAATCTCTTGCTGAGATTTCTAAGTTTTAACTGAGATCTTTCAGTAAGGCTACAATGTTAAAGAATGAATCATCACACAGACTTGTTGCAAGTAAATCATGAAAATAAGATGACATACACCAGCTTCTATTTTAGTGGTCACACAATTTAATCATTGAAAACTCTTCTTACTAATGATAAATAGAGTTTCTGAAGTTAAAGGACGTGTCAGCTAGATTTAACCCTGCCACCACGAGTTTGGAAAAACCTGGGGGTTCTGTATAAGAGAAGCTATGAATATAAACACAGCGGTGTTATGTTATCTCCTGTATATAATCCTGGTATCTTTCTTACTTTGGAGTTATTCTTAACTTCATCTTGCTTAAGTCGCACATCAAAACAGACACTGTCAGTTTATGTACGTGAAAAAAAAATATCGTAACCTTATAAAAAAAAACAATGAAAATGAGCATTAAACAAAATCTATCACTACTAGTGACCCAAATCAACAGGAAACCTCATGCAGATCCCCATCTGAAGTAACAGACATTTTAAGATCATAGCCAACATTTACTAGATAATATAAGTACTGGCACATCTCTCTCTAGTGGCTAGCGTGTGCAACTACACAGTAATGAAGAACCAAAGCTCTAGTTTCTTAACACAAGCATACTGTACCGAGAAACCTTCGTACAATTAAACACTGTAAAACAGGGTGATTTTGGGACAATTTTTCAAACCAACCAAGAGAAACCCATGGCTTGAAAATAAAATTGGTGAATACATTGTAGATGGCCTAACTAGTTCAACTGAATCTCATGGGAGCATTGTAGATCTAACTAGTTCAATTGAATCTCATGGGAGCATCGTAGGCCTAACTAGTTCAATTGAATCTCATGGGATCATTGTAGGCCTAACTAGTTCAATTGGATCTAATGGGAGCATCGTAGGGTCCAAGATTTTTTTTTCCAAGTTTAACAACTGAACTTAACCACCCCCACTGTGGGGAGACTAGAGATGAACATTAAGAATTACGTATATTGTAAAGACAACGAAAACCTGTTTAAAGAAGTCACGTAAGTTTACAAAATAAGCATGTCTCATTTTACATATTTAACAATAATCTACCATGAACCAAAGGTGTTAATAGAGGTTAACAGGTGTGAACTTTATAATAGAGACATCCAATATAGTAAATAAAAAAGTAAAGTATTATCTGTGAAAGTAGCATTAGGCTTCACAGAAACTCTGTGATAATACAACCAATAATTTCATTTGAAATTAGTAAGGAAAAGTGGATGAAGTAGGTGTATTGAATAATGTCAAACAAAATTTACTTTAAAACCATGCACTAATGGTTTGCTCTTTCCACTGTTTCAATAAATATTAGTTCTGTTACTTATTTGAGTGAAAAGACGTATCCTAGTTCGAGGGCCGAATACATTTGTATCTTTTTCATTACATTCAGGGTATTAAGATCTCAATCAAAAGTCTTGCATAAAAATGAATTTGTACCTTTGGACTAGCATCATTATAAGTTTGAAACAAAGTGTGAAAATTTCAAAATGTGTAAAACTTAAATATACAAATTATTCTTTTGGTCTTTAGAATGAGAAATACTAACCAAATATTCACCCTTACTATACCATGAAAATATCAAAGAAATCTTACATACTATACTTATAAAAAAAAAAAACGTATAGCTTACAAAGTGTTTATTACTAACTTTCATACTCCAATCAAACTAATATGTGAATTTCTGTGGTTGTCTTACAGGGATAATAAGCTTTGGATTTTTGTTTTCACAATACAAGTTACCTATACATAGACACGGCCTATTTATTATCAATCAGAGTTTGAATTTGATGCACCAACTCTCGAGCCACTTTTAGTACTGCTTTAGCATCATGTCTTTCTGCCATTTCTGTAACAAACAAAAACTATTTAGTTAACAAAACCAAGCAAAATAACCTAATACTGTTTCACTTTCACTAAAACCTACAACAATGACTTGACTGTACTGGAACCTACAGCACAAAACTGAAACCTACAACACTGGACTGCATGAATTAGAACCTAAGGCACTGAAATGAAAAAAACCAACTGAAACCTACAGCATTGAACCGGATTAACTGGAACCTACAGTAATCACCTGATGGAACTGGAAACTACTTCTCTGTGTATTTTGAGCCCAATCTACACATTCATATCTATAAACCTTAGATAAATCTTGTTCTTGCATTAAACTATGTTGCACTAATGCAAATGTTACTCAGTAATGGTGTGAGATCGGACATACAACAAAACTTACCATTAAAAAACTTAATGATGTCTGTGAAATCCATGTTATTCTCCAAGATAATATCCCTGTAATATTCTACCATGGCCAGTGCGATGAAGAGAACAAGATGACTCGAAGCAATGGGCTTGGCAGCCCATATGGTCTCCCACACGCTGAAGATGTCATCGTACACCAGTTCTGCAAGATACCAGCATCCAAACAATGCATGAACTATGTTGTAGTACTAAATAAAACCCTCCCTATCATTGTCTAGTTTAGTTTTGTTCTACCATCAGACGAAGGTTAGTGAACTCTCACTGAGACAGTAAGCAAGAAAATTGATTTAACAAAATAAAAAAGGCACTTCAAACAATGTATTCCTTTATTTTTTAGACAGTTTATTCTTGACTTTTAATGTAAGATTCCAATACTGAAAATTAGGAAAACTCATAAAAAAGCAGTGTGTCAAATTGTGTCATTATAAACTAGGTAAACTGTATTGGAATAACAGCAGTGTTTCAAATTGTGTCACTATAAACTAGGTAAACTGTATTGGAAGAACACAGCAGTGTGTCAAATTGTGTCATTATAAACTAGGTAAACTGTATTGGAATAAATTAGCAGTGTGTCAAATTGTGTCATTATAAACTAGGTAAACTGTATTGGAATAACACAGCAGTGTGTCAAATTGTGTCACTATAAACTAGGTAAACTGTATTGGAATAACAGCAGTGTGTCAAATTATGTTATTATACATTAGGTAAACTGTATTGGAATAACACAGCAGTGTGTCAAATTATGTTATTATACATTAGGTAAACTGTATTGGAATAACACAGCAGTGTGTCAAATTGTGTTGTTATAAGTTAGGTAACTTGTATCCAAACAACAAAGAAGTTGTCAAATTGTGTTGTTATAAGTTAGGTAACTTGTATCCAAACAACAAAGAAGTTGTCAAATTGTGTTGTTATAAGTTAGGTAAACTGTATTGGAATAACACAGTTGTTATAAGTTAGGTAACTTGTATCCAAACAACAAAGAAGTAGTCAAATCCTGATTCTTAATTGTTGTAAATCAGATAAACTTAGAACAATAGGGCTGTGCATACACTCCACACTAGTTTGTGATAAGCCTGAAATAATGTGAACAGAAAATAAGAAACCCAAGCACTTTTGAATGGTCAAATGAATGGTCACTCAAAATGTATAGAATCTTTCAATATGGCAATTCATTTAACTTTTAAAACAAAGAGTTTTCTTTGTATCATTATTTTACAAAAATAGGGTTATAAAGCACACAATATGAAGATAATTTAAGGTTTCCGTTATTCTTTAATACTGTAATTATCACACACACAGTCTTACCTCTTTTGAAGTCCAGTAGAAACCACCGATAACAGAAATAAAAATGAGTATAATCACCATTCTTATGCATCAGTTCAAACATTTCTCCATCCAATATCTGGAAAAGAAAGTTCTAGTTTATGTAACATGACATATCTCAGTAGAAAGTTCTAGTTTATGTAACGAGATGACATATCTCAGTAGAAAGTTCTAGTTTATGTAACAACATGACATATCTCAGTAGAAAGTTCTAGTTTATGTAACAATGTGACATATCTCAGT